GGGGGATCATTTATGTGAGCATTTTCAGTGGGTGTAGGCCTACTTTTCATGCTAGAAAAAGATGGTTTTGGTCCTCATTAGATTGACTTTTAAGGTTCGCAGATTCGTCATGGTTCATGAGAGTGATGTAGTTGGACGAAAACTAGTACCATTATTCTTTTTCTTTATCGTATTATTACTATTATGTTGATTGCCCTTGGTGGATTTCGATTGTAAATTTGTCTGCATGGTGCTCTGCAGTGTTTGTTGTGAAGTGTGTGAGCAAGAACAAGTGCACAAACAAAAGGGTTTGAAAAACTTTGGTGAAAATTGGACTCTCTGGATTGGTTGACAGCTTGATTAATAAATGCCTGATACTGATAGCAAAAGGATATGATATTATATTGTAGCCGTCATTCAACATAGTATTTGGAAATTTGTTTAAAAAAAAAAAAGAAAATCGAGCATATTGTAGAGTTTGATGAGGCGCATCGATTGGTTCTAGTCTCATTCCTCTTTAAAATAGTAACAGATTTAGACGAATTAAACGTTCAATTCTCTATTAACTTCGATAGGTGGTGTACTGCCATTATAGCAACCCCTTGGTTTTGTGTTTCCCACTTATTTTCTATGTTTACCCTCTATGTTTTGGGGAAGGTCTTCATGGAATAACTGCTGTCTTTTTTGAGTTGATTGAACATTGTTCGAGTTACATCCCTTGTTAACTGATAATACTTTTCTTTTTTTTTTTTGACAACCCAAAACACATTTTGACACGATGGTGTACGAACTTCGCAGCATTTTCAAACTGATAGACCCATATATATATATGTATGTCAATGGGCCGCATTGGATCTAGACTTTTCTAGTGCTGAAGAAGATGACAGCGATGCTCATCCAGAGTATAAAGTGGGTATCACAGTTTAGTAGAGGCTAGTGGAAGGGTGTAGGGATTAGTGACAGTGAACTTTGTGATCTGGATCTAGAGTAGCTGGTCCTACCCGCGACCAGGTGTCGCATTTTGCCTTTCAGCGGTCCCTGATGAGAAAATAGGTCAGTCGGTCCATGTACAGGGCTGATCCAGTGTGTGAACTTCCTGTTTTTACCTTAATATCGTCACTCCTTCCAAAATGTCATTCGCAGACTTCGCATTTTAAAATTTTAATGTTCTGCCCTTGGCGCGACGGCACGTGGTTAGCGCGACCGCATATGACACGTGGCGAGACCAGCACGCCCTATGCGCGATCATCCACTTGCCCCGACTGCGACCAGTCTAAAAAAATGTCTTGTTCTAAGACATTTTTGAATGATAGGAACAGTAAGAATAAGAACATAAACACAAGAACAGTTAGAACTTGAAAACATACTTTGACTTTGAATGAAACTGGCAAAATTTCAACATCAAAGGAGGCCCGTGAAAAATGACATATTATGAACATTTTCTAGAAATTGAAAATTTGTCAAGAAAGCAGACAAAATTTATGAATTACCTGCTTTAGTAAATTAGTTGCCATTTTTCCTTCTTCCCTATCTTTCTTCTTTCAGCCTCTTTTTTTGCTTTTTCTTTCTTTCTTTAGTCTTCTTTTGTCTTTCCTGTTTCTTCCTCTCTACTTTATTCTTCATTTGGGGCTGCCCTCTTTTTCTCTCTATGCTTTCCTCCTCCTTTTGTTCTTCTTGTTTCTTTGCTCTTGCAAAATAATAATTTTTTTCCTCCCTCAGCGTGCTAGTCTTTCCTGTTTCTTCCTCTCTTTTTTTTTCCCTTCTTTTGTGCCCGCTCTATTTTTCCTTTCTGCTTTCACTGTTCCGTGTCTCTTGGTTTTTAAAAATCCTCTTTCTTCTTATTCTTCTCTTCTTGCATTTTCTTTGTTTCCTCAGCTTGCTATAGTCTTTCTTATTTTTTCCTCTCTTCTTCTTCCTAGAACTATAGTGCCTTCTGTAACTTTCTGCTGTCCTCATGTTATCTTTGTGGTAAAATTTCAACATCAAAAGTTGCACAACATAACCAAAAATATCCGAAAAATTCCAGAACTTAAATATTCACTTAATGAACTCAAATCAAAATGCAAAAAAATTATTGATCAAGCAGTGCCTACAACCTTTTTACACAACAGGCACAAGTGGCACCCCTCCCTTCCTCAGTCACTACAGGCCTTTGCGCACCTGAAACTGAAACCAGCCAAGAATTCAATGTTCAGCTGAAACATGGTCTCCAGACTGGTGTTTCTTAAGCAGCTTACATGTTTCACACTGAATCCACTGCAGGTCACCACTGCTGCTATTATTGCACCCAGGGCAAACCCCTGTACTTGTAATGGCTTCAGCCATGGCGTCTGCTACACTTTCGTCGGATTCCTCTCCTTGTTCTGATTCTAATAACATTTCACTTTCATCAACTAAGGTGTCAGTGTCACTCTCTTCATCCTTTCTCTCTGTCTTTTTCCCTTTCCTTTCTTCCCTTCACTCTCTGCTGTTTCAGCTTCTTTCTCCTTCTCTTCTTGCTTTTTCTTTCTTTCCTCTGCCTGCTTTCGTCTTTCTTCTATTGTGCCTGATCTATTTTTCTCTCTGCTTTCCTTTTCACGCCAT